AAAGTCTTTAACGTTTTGTCCTTCAGAAGGTCTTTTGTGTAATTGTAAGCAAGACTGTGGGCGCCATGGGTTTTTCCATTGGCATGCACCCCCTGCTGCCCTGTGACGTCTACCCACAGCCATGTGTGTCAGATTTTTGTGTGCGATGGAGCGCATGCTGCTGCTGTGCCAGCATATTCCTCAATCCGGTGGCTCTGTAGCTGGGCACCCCTTCAGGCCCGAACGCAGCTTCCAAACCCAACCCCAATGATCCCCAAACTATTCTCCCTCGGTGCCAAGCGGGCAGGACAGAGCAAGGCTTAAGGCACAGTTTATGACCCCCTTTTGTCCTCCAGTGGGGCAGAACGTTGTTAACGTGATGGATGGAACGGCAAGATGGAGTTGTGCAATCATGCCGAAGGGCATAAAATATTGCCATCTCTGGCAGGAGGGAGTTTGGAGGGCAACCAAAGGACCATACGTTGTGCTTAACCTCTGCTTGGCAACCGACAGTGCTGATGCACCTGGTGTGTCTGACTCAGGTCGGAATGTGCAGAAAGGAAGTTGTTTTATGGCTTTTTAGCAAAGGATATATCTAAGGGCTGGCCTCTGCTGTAAAACCGTTCATCTCAATCTGTCACTTTGTTTTATTTAGTTTGAAATTCAGTCTGGTTTAGTGCAAGAGACAGCAGCACAGGTTGTTGTTATACCCCCATCCAGAGCTGAATTTACTCAGGTGAGTTTATTTGCACAGCACACTAAAGCAATAAGGGAGTTCAAAAGGCTTTACATACTAAAAATGCAAAAATACAAAGTAATTAAAATACACCACACCGTCAATTGAGAAACATGTAACAGGCATAAAATTTTGGTCAACGTCTTCAAAATCACCAATACACATCAAAAATGTTGGTCAATTGACCTTGACTGGCATTTTCAAAAGACTGACACATTCAGCTCATTTCATGAGAAGATGAAAGCTCAAAAGGGTAAAAGAGAATAATTTGGCTCCTATCAGGTCAGCTTTCACCAGTTAAACAAGATTTCCTCAGGCAGGTTGTGAATTGATGTGGGTTGCAGACAGCTTCTTTTGTATCTGGAAATTTGGGTACAAAATATTAAACGGTGAATGAGTGAAATGAAAAAGCCTTACTGTAAGAAGTTTGGCAGGTCAGGAATGATTGGCACCTTGGGTGAGTGGTGGCTTTTTCTACTCCGAGAATCTCTAATCAACATAGGCTAAGTACAGGTTTCACCAGTTTAAGTGGCATGATTTGAATGCTTTTCTCAATCTAAGGTGACCTCCTTTTTTAAGACTTTAGTTGACTTTTTTAAGACTTTCTTTAGTTGTCTCAAATACAATAAAGCTTTCATAAATCTCAAAATGGGTTTTAAAGAATACTGAGATTGGGAAAAAATATGCAATTTCATTGGGATCGAGATGCACGTAAGACGGGTAAGAATAATTTTCATGTGTGCCAGTTTTTATGGGACAAGAGTGTGTGGGGAATCTGCTGTGACTCAGTGTTTTTGATAAATTCAGCAAGCAAGTTCAAGGAGAAGCACATTCAGCTGATAACACGCACTCTTGCCTCCTTATCTGCTCACACACTTAAAGGCACATGTAACAGAAAGCAGGAGACACAGATTGTCCAGAACAGTGTCCAGACAATCATAATGTGTCAATAATTATCACATTGGGACAGGAATAAATTATCATCACATGAACTAATTCTACTGGTTTTGTTGACACATCATTGTAAAAACATGTTGTCACTGCGAAATGTGCTGAAATTGAGAATTTATGTGACCTGTTTTCGATTCGCATTTTTCTTAAATAAATATGTTTTAAAACATAACAAGAATCTAAGTCTTTCAGATTTTCATTGTAAGGTGGCTAAATGCAATCCAGATTCCTCAGAAAATTTTATTTGAATTTGAATTAAGGTCAAATAAACACTGAGTCTAAGGCACACCACGTTGACACCAAGTTGATATCAACTTGATATCAGCAGACTTTAATGCAGTCTGCTGAAATATTTTTACTTCTTGCACTGTATTCAACATATGAAGCACCTAACATGTCTAAACATGTTAAGAGTAATAAAAAGTTTAGCATCTGTAATATCACCTCGGCTTTGCTGCCCTGGGCAGAGAGCCATATTGCCTGCAGGAAAAGCTGACATTGGCAAAGAATGTTGATCTACCTCTTGCAGGTAGCGGGTTGCACATAGTACATTCACTAATTAAGTGTTTCAACTTTACAAATTAAGCTGAAAATGCTTTTAAAACCTCCTTTAACTTGCACTTCAAATGTTTCTTCAATTTCTGCTTCATGCCAAAAGGCGACACTTATATTTGGCTAACAATGAGAATGTCTGCTAAGAAGCCAAATACAGGATAACTACCATAACTGAGAGTTCTGACAATATTAACATTATTTGCAATGAGTACATGAAAACTACTACTTAATTTAGTAGGTGTGCAGATATTTTTGCATAAATAAAATGTTGCAAAACTTTGATAATTTAGTGCTTTTATCATACTGCCTCAATCTAATTTTAATACTTAAAGTCAAGACATTTCAGTTAAAATTACACTTACTCTCTTATCTACCATCACATTTAAATTAAGCACTAAAGCTCAGTCATCTGCTATATGTCCGCTCTTTAATAAGGTTTAATTTGTAATGAACCGCATGATGTTTTGTGGAGCTCATTTCTAATTTCAAAGATCGAGGTGATAAGAGCCGACCTATTGTTGTCCTTGGCAGGTTTAATTTATTGTTTATTGTCTCTGGGAGGTAATATCCTGTTACTGTGTGAGGGCTTTCACTGCTGCAGTGAATTGAGTCTCCAGGCAGCAGGATATGAGAAACGGCACCATGAAAAGAGTTGGAAAAAGATATGAGATAAGTGAGGAAAGAAGAGAAAGAGGGATGGGAAACCTGCTGTTATTTCTTTTTTTTTTTTGGGGACTTGAAGAAAAGACTTCAGTCAAAGGAAATATTTAATGTTATAAATTGCATATCTTGTGTTTTCTTCTTTTTTTGTTACACATTGTTGGGTTCTGCTGTTTAGACCCATGTGTGTTTGTCTGTTTTCTGCTGTTATAGGGAAGTGATTTGATTAGATTTGATGGGGATCTGTGCTTTATTTAAGCCCTTTGTGCAAAATAGGATAATGCATTTTGCTTTTAGAAGGTTACACCTACAGAAGAAAAGAGGCTAGTAACCTGTATTAGGTTAAAGATATGAAGGTACGAGCATTCATATGGCAGCAGAGGGTTTCTATTTCAGGCTTCAGCAAACTTACTTGTTGGAAAAGGAGAGGATGCATGTGTGTACGCCTGCACTCCTTATGTAATCCGTCTGAGAGGATGTGTTCTTCTTTGTCTCAGGAGAGATTAGACATTTAAGTGCTGGTTTGGACACAACCAGTGGCACCCGGACACGTGCCTAAGCGTGGGTTTGGAGTTTTAATGCTTCCATCTTAGAAACTAACCTTTTCGCACAAGAACAGCAGCATTTTGTTGGGGTTGTATGTCTGACTGTGGGAGGCAAGTGGCAGAAGCCTGTAGTTTTGCTGCTATTTTCTCAAGTGGAAAAATATATCTACTGTGTTTTGTGTGTGGGTGAGACTGCAGTATTTAACAGCATATGTGCACACAAACCATAATCAAAAAGTGCTAATCCATTCCCCTCAGCCCCACGCATTCCCTACGTCCTGCCATGTTCCTGGTGTAATTATAGAAGGTTTGCCTTCAGATTCCCATTGGAATACAACTTTGATGTCCCTCCCCTCTCTCCTTCCCTCCTGTCCGCAGGAGATTTTTCCACCTGCCCAACTAAGGTTATCTAAATTTAATGAGTTTTCTCTCTGACTTTGGCACATGACAAAGTATTTGGCTCACCTCGCTGAGGGTCTAAGACCCCCAGAGGGTTAATGTTTCACTCCATAATTGCACTGCGGTTTCTGCAAGTATGCCGCTCCAGGCTGACATGAGATCTCTCAAGCCTCTGGGTCAGTTGTCGCACACAGAAGCTGTGGAAAATGACCTCTGGAGGTGATGGAGCGTTCCCTTCACTCCCAGAACAGGTTCTCAGAAAAAGGAGGATGATAAATCAGAGTTAATGAACAACTCTCCAGAGGTTTGACTTAAACAGACACATGGAACAGAAGGTTATTAAAACATCTATGAGGAAAACTTGTAGCTGTCTTAATTGTGGCAGTAATTTGGGTTTCAAAACTTATAAGTTCTTTAGTTTAGATGCACCAGTCAGATTCAGTGGCAGCAAAGATTCTGTTCTCATCTTTGTTTAAATTTCTGATTTTATAAAAATAAATAAATAATTAATAAATAAATTGAGAAATTTAAGATCAGGTTTCAATTGCAATGACAGGAAAATCCAAACCCCTGTGTGGTTTGGATATAATAATTTAATAATCTCTCTCTTTTTTTTTGCTTTCTTTTAATATTTTGAAGAATTTATTATCCAGTACTTTAATCAAATCTGCTTTGAAATATACTCAAAAAATAGTTTCAAACAAAAGTACCCATATTGTCACACACAGCTTATTATACAAAGAAGCTATAATGATCAGCACTAACTTAGAATCTTAAAGAAATACTATTTCAGTTCAACTGTGGCTCGATTATTTATGCATTTTATGCTTGTCTTAAAGTAAACATGTCCTGACAAAAAAAAAAAAAAAGACCAGCATTGAAAATTGTCCATAGTGTTTGGTGAGAAGACCCGGGATTGTTGTTTTCGAGGGACAATTTGTCCATACAAAATATTACAGAAACAATCTTGAAGTTACTGGGTTTTTTTCCTTTTGCTTTCATTCAAAGCAGCTGCTTATTATGAAACTTGGTAACATTCAAGCTTTATAAACCTGTTATAACTTCCATACCCGATATTACGGTGCTAGCACAACCAGGGAATTGTTATGTCTAGTTTACTGATGTGTCCTGGTTTTATGATTTTTGCTAATTGGTTTCATATATGTCTCTTTTAGCCGTCATGTATGTTATGGGAGCCCTGGGACCTGCTGCCGGCTACCTGCTGGGAGGCATCCTAATCGGCTTCTACGTCGACCCCAAAACTGTGGTGAACATTGACCAGAATGACCCTCGTTTCGTTGGCAACTGGTAAACATGCACTTACATCTCTATGCTATCTCCATCTCAATATTGACAGGGTGTACACATACTATACTGGAAAATATTTCACCCTTTTGAATCCATTTTGTCTTTTTTTTTTTTTTTTTTTTTTAAGGTGGAGCGGGTTCCTCCTGTGCTCCATTGCCATGCTTCTTGTCATCTTCCCCATGTTTGCCTTCCCCAAAAAGCTGCCTCCACGCCACAAGAGAAAGAAGAAGAAAAAGATGTCTTCATTGGATGATGCGTCCAGCGATGATGATGTGAAGAAGGAAAAGTCTAGTAGCAAAGACCAAAATGTGTCCTCCTCTATAGGATTTGTAAAAGACCTCAAAGGTGAGGGAGGGATGATTTCACCTTGAGGTTTTTGAGTGCTGGAAGAATCTTGCAGAGTTTAGCTAAAAATCAATAACTCAGACTTTAGACTCCTAACAGAGCACTAGTACAAATGTCCAGTCTCACTTGGCTTGATTCTTTTTCAGAGAACAATTAATGACGATGTCGGTCTCAAAAGCTGGTAGAAAGAGAACTCAAGGTTGAAATTGTAGTTCAAGGTGATTCTAAAAAAATATATATATATATCTGGAGGGAAGGAATAGAGATGCATGCCATATCTTTTCGATTTTTTTTCATAACAAGAAACCCATTCATCATTTTCCCTCCATCCCCCAATTATACATTACATTGTTCAATCACAATAATGTAATAGTTTTGATATCAAAGTGCCGTAAAATGAACATGTTGATGTGCGAACAGGCTTTAATCCAATCAGTGGCTTCGGCATCTTATCCAAAAATGGAAGCTTTATTGAGATCTCCTGTAAATATTGTATAAATGGATGTGCAGCAGTGGTAAACACTGGATTTAGTTGGAAATGTAGAAATTTTTAATGTCCTCGCTGAGCCAGGAAACACCCGGTTTTCCCCGGATGAGCTTCGTCCTACTGTAGTGTTTCCCAGATTCCCTCATGTCTTTTTTATTTTTTATTTTTGCTCTTGTTCTGTTTCGCTTTTAAATGAGCTCCCAGGGGACATCACACTCTGCACTGCATAGGCTTTGGTGTAGCTCAGCTAAAATACACCGCTGGTGTTTGCCATCACTCACTCCAATTCTGTGCAAACTCAAACATGTACTTAGCATGGTTGCTCACTCTCAAATTAATGCTTATGTGCACAGCTGGGGCAGTCAAAACAGCGCTTTGTCTCGGTGATGCATCCAGCGCAGGCCAGGAATGAGCTGCAGCTCTGCCGGATCGCTGCTCCCTCAGCTGCGGTTTTATTTGTCTCAGCAGGATGTTTGGGACTGCTGTGCAAACTGGGGCCAGTTTCGCAGACTCAGGCGTTTACTGTGTAGATCCCGAATGTATTTTAGTACAGTACGTGTCCTTCTGTTGAGGAGTGCTTGTTTGCCTGATGCACAAATTCAGCGTTTTTATGTGAAAGGTATGCTGCACTTCCCTTTTTTCTTTGCCCTTTACATCACAAGCAAACACTGAAAAAAATGCTAACGCTCAATGTTTTCCCACAATGCACATCAGAGGGACAAAATTTTGATCGTGGAATATTCCAGACCTTGATCCATTGCTATGAGAAAGCAATTTTCCCCTGAAAGATTGGGAGGCATTGCAAAAATGTCTACTGACACAGTGTATCATATTTACGTTTCACTTAGTCATTAGTTGCGTCACGGATTTGTTCAGGAATGCACATAGGGAATTTTCAGCTGGTATCTTGCTTCCGTACAAAAACTCATATGCAAGGTCAAATTGATATTTGCTGCTGAATGTTTCAAAGGAATAAGAGTTCATCTTGAAGTTAAATTAACTTTCACATGTTTACGGTCTAATAAGCAAAGTTGTTGGACTTCAATAAATCGACCTTTATTCACAGAGCACTTTACACACCCGAAGGGACCAAAATGCTGCACAATATTAATATTTCTAAAATATAACATAGCCAATAAGACACAAACAATAAGTCAGATAAGAGACAGAAACATAAATGTTTAATGATGCTATTTTTATGACTTGTCTTCATAAAAGTAGCAGGAATCTCTGGGGTCCTGTTACCCTCTGTTTGTGTTGTTGCAGTCTAACCCTAACTCTCAGCAAATCAATAATCATTTAATGACTTAAGTTCTAAAGACAAAAATTGCTATGAACATTGTGATTGGCTTGTCTTTGTTTGGGAGAATTTATCTCAATAGTCTTTCTTTTTACAGTTGCTATAAAGAGCATCTGTTTTATTTTCGCCTCTTAGTGGAATCATTCATTATGGCTCCTAATGTTTCTTCTGTTTGAAGATACTACTTTTAGTTTTGCATAACGTGGACATGATTTCGGTTTGGTGCCAACAGGGCTGTGAGTGTCCCATGTGACTCCATGTGTTCAGAATAAATTGTTTTGGTGTAACACTTGAGCAAGTTCATAAATTAAAATGAAATAGTTGGCATCATCCATGACTTAGACTTCATGCATCAACATTTTATTTTATCCTCCACCTCCTCTACCATAAGGCAAATGTAATTAGGCACTTTGGTGATGCTGATATTGCAAGTTTTTATCTACATTTCTAAAGGAGTTTTACAACTATGTAATGCTGAGTCTCATGCTTTAAAATAATTATTTAAGCATTGTATAATAAACTTCTCAAAAAGTTAATGGAAAACACATAGGCATAAAAATCAATAGGAGGATTAGTGAAAATATTCAAATCACAAACAATTAAAAGCCAGTGAGATCAAATCGGCTTAAAGCTCTTTTTATTACTCAAGGCTTGATTGAAAGACAGCAGGAGGCTGTTTGTAATAAGTATTACAATGTGGTGTTTAACAGCAGGGTAAAAAGAGCATTCACAAGAAAGGTTGACTGTTATAGTAATAATATGCAGTAATGGCTGATTAAAGTTGAATTAGAAACCACCGATTCAGATAGAAAAGCTCACAGTGTGAGCAATCAAACACAAGTCAACAAAAAAGCGAGCAAGCAAGTGATCTGTCTGATTGAGGAACAGCTGCAGCAGGACGAAGCCATCTGTCCCCAACGCCAGACAGGATTACGTCCTGGCTCACAGGGATGACATAATTAGCATCACTATTTTATCCTTACCTTTGATCTGCGATCACGGACCCATGGTTCTAATATTCTCCCCACCCACCATGAGTCCTGCTGAATTAGAGCTGGGCTGGTTAAATCCCAAATCAAGGCATCATGTCATGCTGTTCAACTGGTCAGCTTTCTTAAAAACCTTTAATGAAAGACATTTAATCCACCTCTCATTTTGTGGCTTTTTATTCCGTGCTGGCTTTGTTGCTTTTTATGCGACCAGTTCATGACTTAATCTTCAGGTTTTGCCCCTCCTACGGTTTAAAATCTTTATTCTGACAAAACCAGAAGACTTCAAGTTGATAGACTAATAAATGTACGACTGTCCTTACTTTGTAAATTTGTAAGGACACAGTCAGGTTCAGCTGGCATTTTCAAAAACTAAGAAAATTAATTTTTCTAGTAAGCGCTCCCAAAATCGATTGTTGTTTAACAAGAAATGTAAAGTATTATTTTAAATTTAAGTACCACTGTGGACTGAACTTTTAATTACAGTTAATCTGTATAGATATATTATAATTTAAGCTTATGTATCAGACAGAGGCACGAGAAAAAAAAAAAATCTGTTGATTACCAGCAAATTCTTGAAGTAAATGTAAAAGAATAATAATTTTTTTCTTTGATAGTCTGATATGCTGCAAGGTATTCTCACATGTTACTGTGCTTTTCACAGTTTGGCTGTTGATAAAATGAGTAATCAGCAGGACGTGGATCAAACACTTTGATAAAGGCTTTTGCAGGAGCAGCAGCACTAATGAGCTACACAGAGCTGCATGTTTTACATAACCCGATAAAATGGTTTCTCCTAAAATCCCCTTGCACATTATTGATTAAATTATTACCCCTGCCAGTGGGGATTTTTGGGTCATTTTTTTGAATAGGATAAGATAAGAATTAAAAAAAATACAAGTGTTGAAAATGGTTTTATACTGAAATTTAATTACACTAAGATAAACTTCGATAATTTGTGAAGAATGCCTAAGGTAGATGTTTTTGTTATGGGGAGTTGTCTATGGAAAGGAAACTGTAGAAGCTCCCTAGATGATAAAATCTAAGTTGTATTTGCACAAGTCAAGTGAGAAAAGGCAGCCCAATGTTTTGAGTGGGCATTACCTAGATTGTTGCTGATACAGGGAGATTATGTTTATGTGTTTTCTGGAGAACTGGGCTGCCGTTCATCTTGCCCCACAGTGTCAGATAATTTCTTGGATTTTAATTGGTTGGATAGGGACTTCTCCAGGCTGCCATTCATGTGTTAACCATGACTCAGTTGCTGCACTTTTCATGTTTGCAAGTGTAAAAGATGTTAAAAATGCTGAAAACAATGAAACATTGCCTTTCTACTTTACTGCTATATGCTGCTTTGTTTGGACAACCCCATGATTTCTCACTGTAATATACTGTTACAGGTTAAAAAAAAAAAGAAAATAACTACATTTGCATGGCACTTAATATTTGCTTGTGTCCGTACAGGGTAGTTCTGTCCTGGAATAAAGCTTTTTATTTTGGGAACCAAGTCAAAAGTCATCAATCCGCTAAACTAATCTTTTTCTGAAAGTGTCGTAGATGTCTGACAACTTCAGTTTAGCAGACACATAAAAATGCGGAACTAAGTTGTTTTTTTTTACACAGAAATCAAGTCCTGTTTATCTTGTAGTCATCCATGAAACAAGGTGCTTATCTAATTTAATGAGACATGGCTGAATACATCTTTTGAATGAGAGAAAAAGCACAAGTTGTTTTAAAAACTTTTATGTGTTAATACTTCCCTGTTATTTCAGTAAGTTTTGATTGCATAAGTGTTGTTTAAGCTGTAAACTTAGATTTTTTTGTTTGTTTTTTTCATATCTGTAATCTTTCCAACCATTTTGCTTATCAAGTTGTTTTAATGGTTAGGGGGAAAACTTGCTGAATGGGCTTAATTGCAGTCTGACTCTAACGATGCAGTCTTTCTTGCATATCACCCCAAGGCCTTCCCAAAGCCGCTCTGAGGATCCTCAGCAACATGACGTTTCTGTTCGTCAGTCTGTCCTACACCGCTGAGTGTGCCATCGTCACGGCCTTCATCACCTTCATTCCCAAATTTATCGAGTCACAGTTTGGCATTCCTGCCTCCAAAGCCAGTATCTACACAGGTATGCTAGCTTTACATTTCAGTTGCTTTTGGGGGGTTTTGTCACTGTGAAATCTTATTAGAATATATGGTAACGCTTTATTCGACGGGTTGTGAATATGACTGTCATGACACCATCATAAATATGGTCATGAACATGAGTAAGTTCATGAATATGTCTGCTGTCATAAGGTAAATCATGACACTTTTAATACAAATTTGACATTATTCAAAATCATGCCAACTTTGAAGAAGTCATGATCTGACATAAATTTGTTATAAAAGTATTACTGATTAAACTTTAGCTTTAATAACATAAATCTACATAATTTTTAAAGTTTAATCAGTTATACTTTATAACAAATGTATGTCAGATCGTGATTTCTTGGTTGATGTCAAGTTGTCATAACAAAGGCATTTTGAATAATGTCAACTTTGTATTAAAAGTGTCATGATTTACTAAATGACACTTTATGACAACAGTCATAAATTTTCATGAAGACTTACCTGTTATTCATGAATAACAGGTGTCATTAAAGACATAACAGGTGTTACGTCATGCTTATGACGGTGTCATCACAGTCTTATTCACAATATTGTCAAAGATATTACTGAATATATCAAAAAGTCAAGACTACACAAACTGAAAGCTTTGCTCTGCTTTCAGTTTGTGTACAGCATCCGGCATGTGATGTGGAGAAGAACAGAAACTGATGTAATGCCCCAGCTGTGCTGGCACTGCTAACATGCAACTTATCTGGTAGCAGGATTATTACAGTAGGCAGCGATTGGAAATGTAATTATAGCTTAAAAGCAGAGATGGTTAGTTACTGTGTTTGTGTGTATCCAGGCACACAAACAGTGTGTGGTGGTTGACACATGGCTTCTTTAACACACACAAGAGAAATACACACATTACCTCATTCCATCTGACTGTTGCCAGGATACGCAGGGTAAGGGCAATTGGGTGGTGCAGTTGCCATGGCTACCCAAACGCTGCCAAGCTGCTTGAATGTGATGATGGTTGGGGAAGAGGAGACAGGAGAGGGCACGTCTGCTGATGGGTGTGTTGTGCTTTTGATGAGTCCCAGGTGTAAAGACCCTCTGATGATGGAAATTGGTTTTTAATGCTTTTTAAAAAAAATAATAATAATTTATATTATATCAGCCTCTAGCATGAATGAGAATGAGACTGAATGAGACTTCTCTATAAGCTTTTATCATCAGTTATATCTTGTTCGGCGATGCGGAATTCAAAGATGAGGTCGGAAAACAAATATTTTCTCATCATTGTCTCTCAGCCCGTCTTTTTGCCATAAAAAGAAGGAATCTATGCTCTAACTTAGAAGTTATAGAAAAGGGGTCTCATAAATCTGAAAAATGGGACGTCAAGCAAAATTGAAAAAATACAATCCAACACCAAATCCATCAAAACTAAATACTATTGAGTTCAATAAATGACCTTCTTGCTGAGTCTGTTGTTCCCGTATGCCGAGCATCTTTGCAGTGTGGCCAAGTTTCCCCCGTACGGAAATATTTTCTTTCAGCTTTTCTTGTCACTCTGATTTGTTTCAGAACATCAAACGCATTTTGATAACAGACAAAGACAAGCTGAGGAGACACAAAAAATGAGTTTTTAAATGCTGTTTTCATACAATCAACCTGGCCTTACGAAAAACACTATTTGCTTCTAATGTTAAATCATGGGAAGTATTTTTCACAGGACTGTAGCTACAGTAAGTAGATCTGTATTCTGCAAAACGTTTTCACCTCAGCTGTTGTATATTTGTAATGCAATCTCTTGCATACATTTGCACACAAAAAAGGTTCTATCCCTTTAATGTCAGACAGTCTTTTAAAGGTTCTATCCCTTTAATGTCAGACAGTCTTTTAATCCAGATACGATGCTTAAGTTTCACATGCAGTTTGTAATACCACAAAACACAGTTTGCGTGTGTTTGTGTAGACTTTACAGTGTCAATGCATAATCTTGCAGAAAACAGATGGTTTTAGCACAGAAACATGCACTTAAATGATGATAAGCCACTGCAATCTGTTGGCTGACTGTTACTAAGTGTGCTCTGTCTTTGTCTCTTGTCCTAGCACACACTGATACAAGAAATGTACAGAAAATACATTTCTTTGTACTTTTATTATAACTATGTTGATATTCTCTCTGAGAGCCGCCCTCTTCCTCCTCTTCTTACTGACCCAGTCTTTGTCACCCCGCTGTGAAAGCCTTTTGGCCTCACATCCAAAGCATCCAGGCCTGGAAATTCTATATGATGACACTTAATGCTCCCAACATCTCCCTAGTATTATTTTGTTTTGTCATGCTGTCAGCGTGACAAAACTGGCTCTGGCGGATTTGACGCACGTGGGATTTGACCCTGAAACGGCTCGCTGATGGCCTGCAGTGTTCCAGTAATGCTGTTTCTGGTCATTTATTCATAGCTTAATAGAGGCTGACATTTCTGAATCCAGGACACATTCAGCAACAAAACACCACCATTTTTTTCATAGACAGGCTTGAAATGCTCACATTGTATTCCTAGGAGTGCATCCTAATTAAAGGGTTGTTAATAACAAGCACTGATGTGGCTGTGCTTCACAGTAATTATTCTGGTGCTAACACATCCGGGGTTGGTATGTGGAACCCTTCCCACCATCTCACGGGTTATGTCCGCTCTCTGTCGTCTGGCAGGTTTGATCATTGTGCCCAGCGCCGGTGTGGGCATCGTCCTCGGGGGCTACATCATCAAGAAGCTGAAGCTCGGCGCGAGAGAATCGGCAAAGCTGGCCATGATCTGTAGCGGCGTGTCCCTGCTCTGCTTTTCGACGCTTTTCATCGTCGGCTGCGAGAGCATCAATCTCGGAGGCATCAACATCCCCTACACAACCGGGTGAGAAAACATTCATGATTCCTAAAACTAGTACCATCCAGAGTCCTTTCAGCTTTTTTTGTATTTTGTGTATCTTCTTGTTCAAAAAAATATCACCCATGAAGTTTTGTATTTTGTATTTAAAAATGAAGTTGAAGAACAGAGAATTGGTAAAACCTAATATTTCTGCCTGAAAAATAGGCAGACACCATGGGAAAAGTTTGAGGGGGTATCGACGCTTTAGCAGTATGCTGTACGTTCACACCTAAACATGCCATTGAGGTTCACTTGCTGCAGCACGATCAGGGTTCAGAGCTTCAGAGTCTGTGTGAAATAACGAGTGTGAATCATGTTATCAGAGTGATGAATCACAAGCTGGTGTGGGCTTGTGATGCTGCCACCGTTCCATCATCCTCATGCGTTATGGCATTGTGTTGCAGTGTGAAGGAATAATTAGCAACACTTGCATCTGCTCTCGTGTCCTGATGAATCACTTTGCCACCTCTATTTCTGAAAGCGCTGTCGGCGGCGGAGCTTACGGGCAGCTATGCGACGTGCCAGACCCCTTGGCCGACGGAAACACGGGGGCACCTTTCATCTGCTGACCTTGAAATAATGTTACATTTTTACTGTAATTACATATGTACTCTCATCTGATTTTAACCATATTAAAATGAATTTTCTGGACCTTTAATCATACTAAGCAACGGTCAAGTTAAGAGAGATATATGGAGCTTGTGGTGAGATAAAACATGCAGAGATCTTGCATTATCCTTGCATGTTTGAGTGAATGATTTACGTTCTTATGGTTTCTAAACATTTGATTTCTGAAATACTTAAAGGAGGTTCTGAAGCTTTCAAAAAGTGCGTACCAATATTTTCAAGAAATAATGCTGCCTGTCAGTCTGCATGAGTAGCAGTTTGTTACAGAAGCATGGCTAAGTCAGTGAAGCCAAGGCTTCATGAAATTCTTCCCTTTATTAAAAGTAAGTTATTCAAAGAGACTTTAATAACCTTTGAGTCTGTTCAAATCCCATAACTGATAAGTTAATAAGGTTGCTGTTTCTTGTGCGAGCTCATGTTTACAGAGAGCCCACAGAGCTGTCAGAGTGCCTCATTATTCACAGCAGTGGTCAGTAGTCGTGAGCAGCACAGATGGGAGGAATATTTCAGCAAACTTCCTCGTCCAGACATGACTGCTTCACCAACAGGCGGATGAGAAATGACAGGGCCAGCAGGCATGTAAGGTTACATAACGTTCTCAAGCAGTTGTTTTCACTGAGCTGTATAGTGTTCACAGCGAGGGGACATGATTATGTATTTGAATTACACTTTATTAAAAACTGCAGCAGACTAAATCTCTGTTTATGAGACCTTTGGTGCAGGTAGACCCGTGCCTGCTCGATGAAGTGTTTTCTCTCTCCTCTGATGAAGACAGCTGCTCCCGTGGTTTCCTGTTGTGTGTATAAAACTTTCTAACAAGTGTTTTTAATTTCCTTACATATTATCAGTTTTTGTTACCATAGTACTTTTTTACTTTGTTTGTTTAAGCAGTTTGTAGATTGTTAAAGTAATTTAACTATTTTTTTACTTTATTGCTTTTATGTTTTCTGGCTATGAAATGTTTACCTTTTCTTTTGCTTAGGTGATATTTTTCATACATATACTTTCATATTTTTGCTCACTTGTTCAGTTGATTCAAGGAATGTGTTTCTTCTAGTGATTTTTTTTTTGATTAGTTACATTTTATTATGGTCACATAATTAATTTGTAACCATTTTTTATGCGTTTGTTAAATACTTATCACGGTGTCTCACTTTAAGATGCTTTGTTAGTCAATATTTAGGTTGATTCTACATAATTAGATTTTTGTTGTACTATTTATATACTTAAATAAATTATTAGACATGTGCATGTTTCTCTGCTCCTTAGAGAATTGACGAAAGATTGTGCAATTGTTTCTGTAGCAAAGCATGTTTCTCTGAAATGCTGTCAATGATAGAATAGAATAGAATTCAACTTTATTGTCATTGCACTGTCACAAGTACAAAGCAACGAAATCTAGTTTGCATCTATCCAGAAGTGCTATACAGGATATAAATATTTATCAACAAGTGTACATAGATATGGTGTATAAATAGAATAATAGTGCTATAAAATAAAATGTTTTGTATAAAATGATTGTAATATTGTGAGTATCTTTATGTTAGCAGAATATAAAAGGCCAGAAATATTGATATTTTATGTAATAATTTTAGAAATGATTGTGATTTTATTTTTTTGATTCATTTTTTCCATCAGCGGTTATGTTTTTAGGATCTGTCCTGGCCTGTTCCACATTGCTCAGTAGAAAGCTTACCAGAGAAAATTCAATCCTCGCTTCACTGCGTCTGATTTAGACTAAACCAACGTCCTGCTTTAGAGAAACTGTTCCCACACTGGCCAGCGAGCTGGACAATGCATGTCGCATCCTCCGCCCCTCCCCTCTACTCTTATCCCATGTAACAAGCTTGGAAAGGGGGGACTTGGATTATGTGCTAATCCTCCATGCTCAATGATGGACTCAAAAGGATTTGACACAGCGACTTAGCTAAAATACATCCAGCCTTCCTGTTCTCTGTTGAAAATCTTATTCTCGCTCACTCTCTTCATCACCCACACTGAAGAGTGTTGTCAGTCCCTCCGTTTGGAGTGGAGCTGAGTGGAGGTTAAAAACGTAGTCGCCCTATTGTCTTCAGGGTTTTTGAGAACAACCAGAAAATGGGACAATAGAATGTCTTGTGTGCTAAAATGCAAGAACAAACCTGTATCTCAGCATGTGCCAGCCATGTTTTGTTTGGGAGGAATACCATTAATGTTTTCTCCTCACCAGTCTTGATTTGTCATTGTTCTTGTTTGTATCTTTTCAGTCCGTCCCTGACCATGACCCACAGGAACCTGACAGGAAGCTGCAATGTTAACTGCGGCTGCAGGATCCACGAGTATGCTCCGGTCTGCGGCTCTGACGGCATCACCTACTTCAACCCCTGCTTGGCTGGATGCAGAACCATGACCAATGACAGCACAGGGGTGAGGCCTTCCTATCTTTACATTCCTTTTTGAACTCTAATGCCTTTACATAATGTCTAATGAAAAAGTGATGTTTATTCTGAACCATTCAGTAGTTAATATTTTAGTCCTCATTCCAAAAGTCTGGATCCCATTCTCTGACCACAGATCAGGAACTACACGGACTGCAGCTGCATTCAGAGCCGCCAGGTCATCACTCCGTCCTCCGGCGGCCAGGTCAACCAGCTCCAGCTGGTCATCGTCAAGACGTACCTGAACGAGAACGGGTTCGCTGTGTTGGGGAAGTGCGACCGGACCTGCAACACTCTCATCCCGTTCCTCATCTTCCTCTTCATCGTCACCCTCATCACTGCGTGCGCCCAGCCCTCAGTCATCATTGTGACGCTCAGGTGAGATGCTGTCTCTGGCGACAGTCGTTTCGTTGTCTTCCTGTCTTCACGTCTGCCTCCTGTTTTTCCTGCAGGTCTGTTGATGAACAGGAAAGGCCTTTTGCTCTCGGGATGCAGTTTGTTTTGCTCCGGACTCTCGGTATGTACACAATGCTTCCCAGTTATACATTAACTTTAAGAAAAAAAATTTAAAGTGCTTTGCATTAGTACACTCGAAATGGGTCTTTTAGGGAAACTGATTAAAATAATTAGGCTGAAAACAACTCACTGAGCTTCTGTACAGGAGGTAGTAAAAATCATTATGCAGCACAATTTTTTTCTATAGCCGGCTTGACGGCCTGCAGTGTTGGAGAGCAGGAATGCAGCGCCTACCAAACCTTTGTGACCCTTTATGCTGTTAGATGTAGACAAGCCCTGAGGGTGAGGGAGTTCTGCCGCAGCATGTCTCTGATCAGCTTTGTATCGCCGTGCGAACATAAAGCTGCCACGTCATGTCTCATAAACTTCTGCACGATATGAACACTGGTGACCGGAGGGGGATTTTGATTTCTGTGATCACACGCTGCATTGCTGCAGGAACAGAATATAACTTTGGAAACTGAGCTTTTGAAAGTCATAATCTATGGCTATGAAGGTTTTTTTTTATTATTTCAAAGCCTTTCAAGACATTTAATTAATAATAATAATAATAATAATAATAAACTTATTAATGTAGGTAACAGTATTCTGGCACTAAATCTTTAGAAGATTATTTTATTTTTCAGTGACCTACTGTGCCAGTCAGTTATTTACCCAAATACTAAAGTGATGTGACTAATTACAACATCAATTCACAAAAACCTTTCGAGAAATCCAACCTTTGAGTATAAAAAATGTTGAACAAAATCAGTTTTTGGCCTCCACCCATACTGTCATAGCCCTTTTTAAGGGTTTCCTATAAAATTTCACAAGGCTGAAGCTTACAGAGAGGGATCTGTAATTATTCAGCTTTGCAAAATCCGGATCATTCTTTCTTTCTTTTTTTTCCGCTTCAGCTCGCCACACAGCTTTTCTGCAGGATTTAGGTCTGAGATTGACACCAGAAAAGCTTAATTTCATTTGCTGAACCACATCTGTGTTGACTTGACCATATGTAGTAAATAATTTCCCAAGTGTAAAACCCTATCATAATCCATTCTACTGGCAGAATCCACCACATTTTCTTTAAAATCACCTGGTATTTTGAAGAGGAACTTTTCCAAATGTTCATCCTTTGCCTCAAAATAAACCCACCTGGAGTGTTTGCTGACAAAAAGCTCAATGTTCATCTTACTTAATACTGCATAAGCCGCTGGTAAATATTTTGTAACTGTTAAACATCAATTAACAGTGCCTAAAGATATAATTATAATGACATTGTCATTATAATTACGCTCTAAATTTAGACATAATTATTCAGTAGTACACTGTAATGTAGTCGGTGCTATCTTACTTGGTAATGAACAGCATAAGCCGTTGGCACTTATTGGGTAATTTATACTGTTAAGCAATAATTTGTCGGTAATTACTCTCTAAAATTGGTTTGAATTACATAGTAAAACACTGTAACTTACTAGATACTTACTTGGTAATTACATTTAAAATTTGGGACTGTAAAAGAAAGGGTTACCAAAAAATATTTAGCAGACTAAAGTTAATATATTTTGTGGTATGAAACTTTCATCAACTCTAGTCTGTCTCCTTCCTCAGCCTATATCCCCACGCCCATCTACTTTGGCGCTGTGATCGACACCACCTGCATGCTGTGGCAGCAGGACTGCGGCGTACCCGGCTCCTGCTGGGAGTACGACGTTACCTCATTCCGCTTCGTGTACTTCGGCCTGGCTGCCAGCCTCAAGTTTGTCGGCTTCGTCTTCATCTTCCTCACCTGGTACTCGATCAAGCACAAGGAGGCGCAGGCCGAGCGCTGGCGCCAACACCTGCCTCCCCTGGGCACGGTCAGTGAGCTCGTGTGCCACGCTGGCGGACGGAAGAGCCACGCCCGCACGCGCTCCTGCCCCGTGTTCATCCCGCCCCGGCCCGACGGGCCGGTGGCGGTGCTGCTCGACCGCGGCCATAGCAGCCTGAGCTGCCCGGGCAACGACCTCAGAGCAATACCTCCTCCCGTCTCGCTGCCGCCCCACCACAGAGGCTCCGCCCACGTCTGATTGAGGGGGGTTGGGGGGTTGTTCGTCGTGACATGTGCCTTCCTGTTTTGTTGTTTCTGCACAACACGGCGTCTGCTTTACACAGGACCGACAAGTGTGCCCACCATACCTAAAGGGCTGGTCATCAATTTATGGGAGAAACTGAGCATATCATCTGCTGCAGCCACACTGGAGAGATGATGAAAGAACATTAAACTGGTGCTACTGTTAACAGACAGGGCATTATAACCTCTGTACGGCAGAAAAGTCATCAACACTGCGTCTAAAGCACAACAGAAACTCTGTACTATGCAAAAATTGACCTACTGCTCCTTTCCTCTTCATCCTTCATCACATACATCTTTTTTTTTTTTACTAATTTTTTCAGTGTTTCTTCTAGATTTGAGCCTCTGTCTTGTCATGGTGGCTCACACATCTTCATATATGACAGAATTAGATCTAGAATTTTTGTTCACAAGTTTCTCACATTATTTCATTTTCGTTTTCCCTTAACAGTGCCTCTCAGGCCGTCACGGCCAGTCCAGTACGCAGGTCTGGCTGTCAGGGTTAATATTAGCCTCAGAAGAATCCAAGATCGCCTTCACCAACTTAACCATGTAGCTTAAAGCAGAGAAGCACCAATAGCACATCACAAAATTTTACTATCCAAGTAAAAAAACTAAACTACACAATAGATTTCTCACAATGTGCTGAAGCTACTGTAAATCCTCAATATGTGAATGCAGGTTTGGAAAAAGTGGTATCATATTTGGCCTTGTATTTATAAAAGCTCCTCCATTCCAGCGGCCATCAGATGTACATAGTTGTTATTTAGCTGTCTAGACTTTTAAAGACTTATTGCAGCAGAGCATGACCCAAGCTAGCCGGAGAGGGAGTCAATCTTCTGTTGTTTGGTGCCATCTAGTGGACTGAACCGTTTTTTGTGAGGAGCCTGTGAATGTCGACGGTTTCAGATCTTCTGTGTTTGAGAAATTGCAAAAAGTTAAATGAAAAAATTCTCTACAGTGAACTGTTCAGTTCTGTTAAACTTTTATTTGAAGACTCCGAGGTGATCAGTTTTTTTATTTTGCGGAAATGTTTTTTCTTTTTTTTTTTATGTTAATCTGGTTCTGCTCGTTTACTTCTAGTTACCAAACATTATAGTGTTATAAATACAAACTTTGTTGTTGGACTTTAATCGAGCAACATGAAGGAATACATAATTGTGAAGTGAAAGGAAAATAGGTTTTAATTTCTTTTACATATATTTTCAGACCCCTTTACTCTGATAACCCAAAATAAAAACAGCTCAATTCATTGCATCCAAAAACCATAAAAGTAAATAGTCTACATAACAGTCTGTGTAGAGATTTGTTCGGAAACATTAATGAACTGTTAGTCGATACGTTGTCCTAAACAGTAGAATAAGAACGTACGATAATTTTTACCTTTTTTTTTTTAAATACATATATTTTCCTTGTGTTTTGCAACTATTTGTTCCTTTGTGTCGATCTGTTACATAAAATCCAAATAAAATACATTAACCCCACACAGGTCTGAAAATTAACTTTGAAAGACAAACATAATATTGCTTTGAACAAAATTTTACATAATTTTTTTAAATTATGTTTTGTTCTCTGAAACAAATTGAGAATTTGTCTGGAGCAAATTATCTGGTTGATATGTTTGTATTATTGTGGCTCAATTTTTGAAGGTATTCATACATGGTCATTGTGTAAATAATGGACGCCAACAATACCTATTATAGAGCTCATTTATAGCTAGAAATGTATCATCCATGACATCGTAATTCAGTTAGGGAATGCCAAAAAACAAAATGGTATTAAAAAAAAAACAGAAGAGTATTATCCAAATAAAGAGTCATCAATATTAGCTCAGTTTTATAGCTGTCAGTGATCAGAAAAGCCTGGCCCAGCTCTGTCAGGAGAGATTTTCCACTCTTTTTCTGTCTTCATCCAAATTTGACCTCATTTAATTTTTTTTCTCCCAGGGCAAAGTAAGATCTGATTGTGCAGCAGAAACAGAGTTCACCAGATTTCAGCAACAAAGAAGAGCAGACCATCCTTCAGTGATGGCAACACAATGTTTGCACTGATGTCTGACATCCACAGACCACCTTCAACTTCAGTGTGCTGCTCTCTGTACAAACGTCTGGACTACCTGCACAACAGGACTTCATGCCGACCCTGGAGTTCGGCTTTAATGCATCGTCCCTCTCTTCAGCGTTTGGACTGCAGGTTGATTTTTTAAATTTTATTTTATTTTTTTCCTGGACAAAAACCTGAAGCTGTATTCTGAAAGTTGCTCTTGGCTCCTCAGCAGCAAAATTATAATTGATGTTTGTGAACGCTTGGTTTACAAATGCCTTCAATACTTGATTATAGTCATTAAACCTGAAAACAAAAACAACAATTTGTTTGGAATTATTACAACATGGAGTTCATAGAAAAATCAGGCAGAGCTTCAAGTTAACAGTTTATTTCAGCAACAGCATCATGGCTTTCCTGAAACCACAGTTGGTCATCAAGAAGGCAGAATGAGACTTTCTGTGGAATAAGATTAAAGCTGGATACGTCTTGGACATTATTCAACTGGTTGACCATTGCTTTAGATCAAAATGTCTTATAAAAAGAGCTCAGTTTAAAAAAAATAGCACAGTTTAAATGTTCCCATATGCACATGTAAAGCCACCTCAATATGCATCATCCCTGGTGAAGATGCATAAAAGGATTTTATTTTTTATTTTTATTTTTTTTTACTATTGCAGTGACATAATTTTACATAGAAAAAAAGTATTAAAAATCTAACCTTTAATTTGAGTCCATCTATCCAATCTGAAAAAACAAATAAAATTCTGCAAAATGTGACTTTTTAATTGACACATACAAATTTTGTAACTTTTCTTAAAAATATGGCATGACGACCATTTCTCTAAGCCCCAAATTAAGAAAATATTCCAAATAAAGAATTGCAAATCGGGCAATTGCTAGAAAAAAAGAAACTTCTCAGTCTTTGTCATTATAAGAGCAACAATTTAGAAAAAATGAAAATAAAATAGAAAAGTGACAAGGAAGGTTTGCTGAGACAACATGCTCTAACAGATGGTAATAAAGGCAAAAAAAAAAAATCCAAAGCTCACAAGAAAAACCATAAACTTTATCTCTTAGGTTTTTCATAACCATGAGATGCATCTTTTAGATCCCTTTATCAAGAAGCGTACCAGGAAGAAACTTTTTCTTGAATAATCATTACAGACATATTTTTAGAAATGCAACTATGATTTCAACAACCGGCGCTGTGTTATTTGGCCAGTTGAGACTATAATCAATTTTTTCAACAAGATTCGTCATCGTTTGCTCATGGAGAATAAGTATGTGAGCACTGCAGGATCACTGCTAAACCCGCAGCATCACAGATCCTACACTGTGTTTGTTTCTCCTAAAAGGTCCTGGTAACCTAGTTAGAGGGCACAGCGTTGCGTGAAAATCTGTGGCATTTCTAATATAAATTTAGAGGCTTCTGACAAAAAGTGGATCATCATGAGTGTCAAATTAAAAGGTAACACCCAGATAGTCAAATGTTAGATTTTTCTAAAGTTTAATTATGCTACTGCAATTGAATAATATATTTTAAAGTTTGCTTACCTTTTTAAAAAAAAAAAAAAAAAAAACTTTCACCCAGGGGGGCCTGTAAATGTGGGGAGTGCCAAAACTGAATGATCAGAGAACTTTGTCTGTAGTAATTATTTAGTGACTTCATCAGAAACAGCAGCATTTTGCTGGTTTTGTCTGTAAATTTGACTGTGACTGATTAACTGGCGCTACATAACAGTCTAAAGTAAATGCTTTCATGATTGTCTGATCTAAATTACTGACACATTGAAGGAAAATGCTAACAAATCCACACTGCGTCTTTTGTTTTTCGTTGTCCAATTTGGTTGTAATTTATGAGCTCTGAGGTCATAATGGAAACACATTTGTGTGTTGATGCGGTGAAGTTCTGAGGGTCCTGTGATTGGGCAGAAGACCGCAGACTGACTGTGTAATCTCCTATTCAGCTGCTGAGATGATTTCACCACCCACTGTTTCTGTAGAACAACATTAAATATTCATAAACAATATTCAGCCTCTTTATGGAAATTATCATCTTTAATAGCATCTGCAGTTTGGCTGCATTAAGGCTTTTATATATTTATATATATACTTTTTTTTTTTTCAATACACACATTTATTAGTAACACTGTTACCTAATAAATGTTGGCACCAGTAAAGTAAAAAAAATAACTTTATGACTTGTCATATAAATCCAACTTGACTGTTTGTCCTGCACAGATCATCTTCTAACTAGTGTCTGTAGCGGATCTGTAGCAGGTTTACTGGGCCACCCATCTGCCTCAGAGGGTCTTCATGGAGGGCTCAGTCACCGATCCGCTTCCCTCGTAGTCCAAGCTCAGGAGCAGTGGGGCTTGGGGTGGGGCTTTTAGGACCACCCCGACAGTCTGAGTGCTGCTAGTCTGTGTGGGGGAGGTGATGGCTGGGCTTTTTGTGGTGATGCTCTGCACTTTTGGCCTCAGAGTCTGCTGGGAGAGAGGGAGGTAGCCTTGAGCCTGGAAAATGTCCTCCTCGTCTTCAGGGTCCAGGCTGGAGCCCAGGATTTGCTGGTTGGGGTCGAACTGGACGCGCAGGCTGTTGTGCGTGCGCATGAGGCCATCGTGTCGAGCCTCCATCTCAGTCGGTCCGTTCCCGCTAAACATTTCGTCCTCCAGCTCCTCCAGCTGCCGCGCCCACACATCGCTCGGGGTGACCTTGGGTCTGTGCGGATTCGACTGTGACAAAACGGACTCCTTGAGTCCGTTCTCAAGGCTATCAGGAAGGTCGTTTACAACAGATCCCAGTTTCTGTTCTGGCTTTGAAGGTGCTGGTGGCTTTCTGCTGGGATCGGGGGTGGCGAGTCGAGTCTCTGAAGCCAAGACCGGCCAGACGTCACTGGCGGAGGCTGGCTCGTCTCCGCTGGCCTCCTCGAGGCTTCCACCCCCGGCCCCAGAGCCCAGCTCTGGCAGGGTGGAGTCGTCGAGCTTTTGAGTTCGGTTGAATGGGTTTAAAACGCGTCGCAGTGCAAACATTTTATCAACATCCTTCTGGAAATTGGCCCAGTTATCTGGGCTGGGTCTGTAGTCAGGCCTACATTCATACAGGCTTTCGTTTATGCTATACAAATCCTCCAGTTCCTGCCAGTTCACCTCCTCATCTGTCAGGTTGGGCAGCTTAACCCTGTCGTCCTTCCCATACTGGCTGTGTGCTGCCAAAAGAAAAAAAAAAACGAAGATTTTCAGGGGTTGGGAGTAGAAATGAGGAGGCGCGATGCTTCAAGTTCATTCAGACAGCATGCAGTCATGCCAGGCTTCTGGTTCTGACTACAGCAGCAGAAGCAGAGGGTTTGTGGCACCAAGCAACAAGCTCACTTCAAAGCAGCACAGGATCAAGACGCCACACACACACTGAGCTCAAGCCACAAACAAGGAAAGCATTCTGCTCTTTCAGGGAATCCAAAGAGGCATTTAGTCGTTCATCACAGACTAAGACTCTAAAGCCCCGCCGTAAATACAGTGCTTCATAAAAAACACACACCTCCAACTCATTCACAGTTTTTCATGCTACAACCAAATAAATAAATAAATAAAAAAGATAAAAATAATAATTAAAAATGCATTTTTTTGGAATTTGATGTGGCAGATCACACAAAGCAGCACATTTGTGGCATGGAAGAAAAACGTTAAATGGTCTTCAATAGTTGCTACAAATAAAAACCTTTAGAGCCCTCGTGTAAGAAAAACCCTAAACATACACTACAAGTCAGAAATACAGTGGAGGTTTTGGATCGAAGCATAATCATGAGTTAAAGTGGCCCCATCAGAGTAGCACAGGCTCAAGAGTCAAATACACGTCACATTTGTTCATTTTTATGTGAAAAAATTGCAAACCACCCACAAAAAAAACCCATTTTCTCTACTTTCTTCTCCTGTATGTGCTTCTTTGTTCACGTCTGTCACATAAAATCCCAATAAAACACATTGAAGTTGGAGGTTGTAAAATGACAAAGTGAAAAAGTCCAAGAGGCATGAATACCTTTTGTAAAAGCAAGGCACTGAATATTATGACATAATTAAAGGCAGGCCTGCATTAAAGTGAGATACAAAGCAAAGATACCTGGAATAAAATAACCAGTGAAAAAGAAAACAGGAAAATAAGCTGCTGAATGGCATACTCCCCCCAAAAAAGAGAAAGGATAAATATAAAGCCAGGAGGGAAAAGAAGACAAAAGAAATTTGCTGCAAAAGCACACAATAGCAGCAGATAGATATGTGAACAAGAAAAATCATTATCAGAGCCCCTTAGGATTGGCATCTCTGTTTAAGTGGCTTTCCCATATAGTGCAGGACGAGATGGTTGGACATAAACTGAGGGACTCACGGAAAGGAAAGGCTCGGCCTCCTCTTTGACCACTTTCGATGCTGCTGTCGCCTGGTAAGCAGGTGTCAGAGGGGTCACAATGCAACAAAGTTTCAATTCTACATCTGGCATATGGCTATGAGTGAACATGAATCACTGCTGGTTTGGTTGTGTTGTTCCTGGAGATGCACTGAGCGGATATGTATGTCCGATTTCCCGGCTCCTGTTTTATAAAGCTTTCACTCTGCTGTTGGTCATGATATTCTTGCCAAATCAGATTTCTCTTCAAATTTAAAATAAGAGCAACATTCAAAAATTTATATGAGAGATCACTTTTTGTGTGTGTGTTAGGATCAGGGATGACAGAGATTGCTCCAAAACAGGGCCTTAGGCTTAGCTAACCTAACTCTCTAACCCCAACGCCCTAATCCTGCCATTTCTAAACATATGAAGTAGGATTACACACTTTATATTTTACACTGGATTTAGCATTTTCTTTTAGGAATATGCATAATTAGCATAGTCATCCTTGCAGAAACTGCAATCTGTGTCAGTATTTTCTATAGAAAAGAAATTCTGGCATAAACTGAGATTTCCAGAGGGCTGCCAACATGTCAACAATTTCCATGAAGTCGAAAGGTGACTTATAGCATTACAAACCAGATTTGACAAAATTATGAATATTATTTAATCAGAACCAAAATCTTTCAATTTTATTGATTAGTATTAGATTAATTGATTGGATACCTTACGTTGCCAAAAGTATTGTCTTGTTTTGCCTTGACTGCATAATAACTGGATCATATATTGAATTTCACTCTTGTGAGAAGGCTTTCTATGACGTGCAGGAGTGCGAATGACAATGTTTGAGCATTCTTGGAGAAGTGCCTTTGTGAGATCAGACACTGATGTTTGACAATA